GTAACTGAGTTCATCTACAGTACAGTAACTGAGTTCATCTACAGTACAGTAACTGAGTTCATCTACAGTACAGTAACTGAGATCATCTGCAGTACAGTAACTGAGTTCATCTACAGTACAGTAACTGAGTTCATCTACAGTACAGTAACTGAGTTCATCTACAGTACAGTAACTGAGATCATCTACAGTACAGTAACTGAGTTCATCTGCAGTACAGTAACTGAGTTAATCTACAGTACAGTAACTGAGATCATCTACAGTACAGTAACTGAGTTCATCTACAGTACAGTAACTGAGATCATCTACAGTACAGTAACTGAGTTCATCTACAGTACAGTAACTGAGTTAATCTACAGTACAGTAACTGAGATCATCTACACTACAGTAACTGAGATCATCTGCAGTACAGTAACTGAGTTCATCTACAGTACAGTAACTGAGTTCATCTACAGTACAGTAACTGAGATCATCTACAGTACAGTAACTGAGATCATCTACACTACAGAAACTGAGTTCATCTGCAGTACAGTAACTGAGATCATCTACAGTACAGTAACTGAGTTCATCTGCAGTACAGTAACTGAGTTCATCTACAGTACAGTAACTGAGTTCATCTACAGTACAGTAACTGAGATCATCTACAGTACAGTAACTGAGATCATCTACAGTACAGTAACTGGGATCATCTACAGTACAGTAACTGAGATCATCTACACTACAGTAACTGTGATCATCTACAGTACAGTAACTGAGTTCATCTACAGTACAGTAACCGAGTTCATCTACAGTACAGTAACTGAGATCATCTGCAGTACAGTAACTGAGTTCATCTACAGTACAGTAACTGAGATCATCTACACTACAGTAACTGAGATCATCTGCAGTACAGTAACTAAGTTCATCTACAGTACAGTAACTGAGATCATCTACAGTACAGTAACTGAGATCATCTACACTACAGAAACTAAGTTCATCTGCAGTACAGTAACTGAGATCATCTACACTACAGTAACTGAGATCATCTACAGTACAGTAACTGAGATCATCTACAGTACAGTAAGTGAGATCATCTACAGTACAGTAACTGAGATCATCTGCAGTACAGTAACTGAGATCATCTACATTACAGCAACTGAGATCATCTACAGTACAGTAACTGAGATCATCTACAGTACAGTAACTGAGTTCATCTACAGTACAGTAACTGAGTTCATCTACAGTACAGTAACTGAGATCATCTACACTACAGTAACTGAGATCATCTGCAGTACAGTAACTGAGTTCATCTACAGTACAGTAACTGAGTTCATCTGCAGTACAGTAACTGAGTTCATCTACAGTACAGTAACTGAGTTCATCTACAGTACAGTAACTGAGTTCATCTACAGTACAGTAACTGAGATCATCTACAGTACAGTAACTGAGATCATCGACAGTACAGAAACTGAGTTCATCTGCAGTACATTAACTGAGATCATCTACAGTACAGTAACTGAGATCATCTACAGTACAGTAACTGAGATCATCTACACTACAGTAACTGAGTTCATCTGCAGTACAGTAACTGAGATCATCTGCAGTACAGTAACTGGGATCATCTACAGTACAGTAACTGAGATCATCTACAGTACAGTAACTGAGTTCATCTACAGTACAGTAACTGGGATCATCTACAGTACAGTAACTGAGATCATCTACACTACAGTAACTGAGATCATCTACAGTACAGTAACTGAGTTCATCTACAGTACAGTAACTGAGTTCATCTACAGTACAGTAACTGAGTTCATCTACAGTACAGTAACTGAGTTCATCTACAGTACAGTAACTGAGTTCATCTACAGTACAGTAACTGAGTTCATCTGCAGTACAGTAACTGGGATCATCTACAGTACAGTAACTGAGATCATCTACAGTACAGTCACTGAGTTCATCTACAGTACAGTAACTGGGATCATCTACACTACAGAAACTGAGTTCATCTGCACTACAGTAACTGAGATCATCTGCAGTACAGTAACTGAGTTCATCTGCAGTACAGTAACTGAGTTCATCTACAGTACAGTAACTGAGTTCATCTACAGTACAGTAACTGAGATCATCTACAGTACAGTAACTGGGATCATCTACAGTACAGTAACTGAGATCATCTACACTACAGTAACTGAGATCATCTACAGAACAGTAACTGAGTTCATCTACAGTACAGTAACTGAGATCATCTGCAGTACAGTAACTGGGATCATCTACAGTACAGTAACTGGGATCATCTACAGTACAGTAACTGAGATCATCTACAGTACAGTAACTGAGATCATCTACAGTACAGTAACTGAGTTCATCTACAGTACAGTAACTGAGTTCATCTACAGTACAGTAACTGAGATCATCTACAGTACAGTAACTGAGATCCTGCAGTACAGTAACTGGGATCATCTACAGTACAGTAACTGAGATCATCTACAGTACAGTAACTGAGTTCATCTACAGTACAGTAACTGAGATCATCTACAGTACAGTAACTGAGATCATCTGCAGTACAGTAACTGAGATCATCTACAGTACAGTAACTGAGTTCATCTACAGTACAGTAACTGAGATCATCTGCAGTACAGTAACTGAGATCATCTACAGTACAGTAACTGAGTTCATCTACAGTACAGTAACTGAGATCATCTACAGTACAGTAACTGAGATCATCTACAGTACAGTAACTGAGATCATCTGCAGTACAGGAACTGAGTTCATCTACAGTACAGTAACTGAGTTCATCTACAGTACAGTAACTGAGTTCATCTACAGTACAGTAACTGAGATCATCTACAGTACAGTAACTGAGTTCATCTACAGTACAGTAACTGAGTTCATCTACAGTACAGTAACTGAGTTCATCTACAGTACAGTAACTGAGATAATCTACAGTACAGTAACTGAGTTCATCTACAGTACAGTAACTGAGTTCATCTACAGTACAGTAACTGAGATCATCTGCAGTACAGTAACTGAGTTCATCTACAGTACAGTAACTGAGATCATCTGCAGTACAGTAACTGAGTTCATCTACAGTACAGTAACTGAGATCATCTGCAGTACAGTAACTGAGTTCATCTACAGTACAGTAACTGAGATCATCTACAGTACAGTAACTGAGATCATCTACACTACAGAAACTGAGTTCATCTGCAGTACAGTAACTGAGATCATCTACAGTACAGTAACTGAGTTCATCTGCTGTACAGTAACTGAGTTCATCTACAGTACAGTAACTGAGATCATCTACACTACAGTAACTGAGATCATCTACACTACAGTAACTGAGTTCATCTACTGTACAGTAACCGAGATCATCTACAGTACAGTAACCGAGTTCATCTACAGTACAGTAACTGAGTTCATCTACAGTACAGTAACTGAGATCATCTACACTACAGTAACTGAGATCATCTGCAGTACAGTAACTGAGTTCATCTACAGTACAGTAACTGAGATCATCTACAGTACAGTAACTGAGTTCATCTACAGTACAGTAACTGAGTTCATCTGCAGTACAGTAACTGAGATCATCTGCAGTACAGTAACTGGGATCATCTACAGTACAGTAACTGAGATCATCTACAGTACAGTAACTGAGTTCATCTACAGTACAGTAACTGGGATCATCTACAGTACAGTAACTGAGATCATCTACACTACAGTAACTGAGATCATCTACAGTACAGTAACTGAGTTCATCTACAGTACAGTAACTGAGTTCATCTACAGTACAGTAACTGAGTTCATCTACAGTACAGTAACTGAGTTCATCTACAGTACAGTAACTGAGTTCATCTGCAGTACAGTAACTGGGATCATCTACAGTACAGTAACTGAGATCATCTACAGTACAGTAACTGAGTTCATCTACAGTACAGTAACTGGGATCATCTACACTACAGAAACTGAGTTCATCTGCAGTACAGTAACTGAGATCATCTGCAGTACAGTAACTGAGTTCATCTGCAGCACAGTAACTGAGTTCATCTACAGTACAGTAACTGAGTTCATCTACAGTACAGTAACTGAGATCATCTACAGTACAGTAACTGGGATCATCTACAGTACAGTAACTGAGATCATCTACACTACAGTAACTGAGATCATCTACAGTACAGTAACTGAGTTCATCTACAGTACAGTAACTGAGTTCATCTACAGTACAGTAACTGAGATCATCTACAGTACAGTAACTGAGTTCATCTACAGTACAGTAACTGAGATCATCTACAGTACAGTAACAGATCCTGCAGTACAGTAACTGGGATCATCTACAGTACAGTAACTGAGTTCATCTACAGTACAGTAACTGAGATCATCTACAGTACAGTAACTGAGTTCATCTACAGTACAGTAACTGAGTTCATCTACAGTACAGTAACTGAGATCATCTACAGTACAGTAACTGAGTTCATCTACAGTACAGTAACTGAGTTCATCTACAGTACAGTAACTGAGATCATCTACAGTACAGTAACTGAGATCATCTACAGTACAGTAACTGAGTTCATCTACAGTACAGTAACTGAGTTCATTTACAGTACAGTAACTGAGATCATCTACAGTACAGTAACTGAGTTCATCTACAGTACAGTAACTGAGTTCATCTACAGTACAGTAACTGAGTTCATCTACAGTACAGTAACTGAGATCATCTACAGTGCAGTAACTGAGTTCATCTACAGTACAGTAACTGAGTTCATCTACAGTACAGTAACTGAGTTCATCTACAGTACAGTAACTGAGATCATCTACAGTACAGTAACTGAGTTCATCTACAGTACAGTAACTGAGTTCATCTACAGTACAGTAACTGAGTTCATCTACAGTACAGTAACTGAGATCATCTACAGTACAGTAACTGAGATCATCTACAGTACAGTAACTGAGTTCATCTACAGTACAGTAACTGGGATCATCTACAGTACAGTAACTGAGATCATCTGCAGTACAGTAACTGAGATCATCTGCAGTACAGTAACTGAGTTCATCTACAGTACAGTAACTGAGATCATCTGCAGTACAGTAACTGAGATCATCTACAGTACAGTAACTGAGTTCATCTGCAGTACAGTAACTGAGATCATCTACAGTACAGTAACTGAGATCATCTACAGTACAGTAACTGAGTTCATCTGCAGTACAGTAACTGAGATCATCTACAGTACAGTAACTGAGTTCATCTACAGTACAGTAACTGAGTTCATCTACAGTACAGTAACTGAGATCATCTGCAGTACAGTAACTGAGATCATCTACAGTACAGTAACTGAGTTCATCTACAGTACAGTAACTGAGTTCATCTACAGTACAGTAACTGAGATCATCTACACTACAGTAACTGAGATCATCTGCAGTACAGTAACTGAGATCATCTACAGTACAGTAACTGAGTTCATCTACAGTACAGTAACTGAGATCATCTGCAGTACAGTAACTGAGTTCATCTACAGTACAGTAACTGAGATCATCTACAGTACAGTAACTGAGATCATCTGCAGTACAGTAACTGAGTTCATCTGCAGTACAGTAACTGAGTTCATCTACAGTACAGTAACTGAGATCATCTGCAGTACAGTAACTGAGTTCATCTACAGTACAGTAACTGAGATCATCTGCAGTACAGTAACTGAGTTCATCTACAGTACAGTAACTGAGATCATCTACAGTACAGTAACTGAGATCATCTGCAGTACAGTAACTGAGTTCATCTGCAGTACAGTAACTGAGTTCATCTACAGTACAGTAACTGAGATCATCTGCAGTACAGTAACTGAGTTCATCTACAGTACAGTAACTGAGATCATCTGCAGTACAGTAACTGAGTTCATCTACATGAACACAACACAACGGGTCAATTGCTCATCTAGGGGTCCGTTCAGTAAGGGATAATGAACATCCAGGCGGTTGTTCTCAGAATAAACCCTTCAGGCTGATTAAGAATGAATTTGTGTAATTCATTATATTAAAAATGTTAATCTCTTGACAGCCCTAACATACATACATATACATGTATATATGTATATATTAGGGCTGTCAAATGATTAATCACGATTAATCGCATCCAAAATAAAAGTATTTTTTTACATAATATATGTGGGTGCACTGTGTATAATTATTTTGTATATATATAAATACACACACATGCATGTATATTTAAGAAAAAAATATTATTTATATATAAAATATTTATATATAATATAAATTGTCTATAAATCTATATACAGTATATACATTAAAATATTTCTTAAATATATACAAGCATGTGTGTGTATTTATATATATAAAATAATTATACACAGTGCACCCACATATATTATGTAAAAAAAAACATTTTATTTTGGATGTGATTAATCACGATTAATCATTTGACAGCCCTAATATATATACACACATATACATTACACATATATACACACATACACTAGGGGTTAATAACACACGTCTCATGTCTATATAACACACGTCTCATGTCTATATAACACTCATGTCTATATAACACACGTCTCATGTCTATATAACACACGTCTCATGTCTATATAACACACGTCTCATGTCTATATAACACTCATGTCTATATAACACACGTCTCATGTCTATATAACACACGTCTCATGTCTATATAACACACGTCTCATGTCTATATAACACACGTCTCATGTCTATATAACACTCATGTCTATATAACACACGTCTTATGTCTATATAACACACGTCTCATGTCTATATAACACACGTCTCATGTCTATATAACACACGTCTCATGTCTATACGGGTGTGTTTGATGCGCTGTGTTTCTGGTTTCAGGACAGAAACTACACCGTTCACCTGAACCACACGAGTCTGCTGAAGGCCGTTCTGCTCCACAGCGGCGTTCCAGAAGACAAACTCACTCAGGCCTCCAACATACTGTGTGACTCCATGGTGAGACACACACACACACACACACACACTCTCACATACACTCTCACACACACACACACACACACACACTCTCTCTCTCTCTCTCTCTCTCTCTCTCTCTCTCTCTCTCTCTCACACACACACACACACCCGCAGCAGTGAGACGTGGCTCTGTATAGTTTCCCATGGGGTAGAGAGTAAAAAACTCTATTAATGCACTTGTGCCTGGACTTTAAAGTGGACTCAAACCTTTTACTAGTAGTGAAAGTGATAAAGCCAAACAATTTAAATATATATCATAATAATAATAACAATAACAATACATTAATTGCTGTATATTATTATTGTAATGCAACTGCATTGTACATTGAGAAATACTGTAAAGACAGGTAATTAAAACAAAACATTTACAAATATTATAAACATTTTTTATAACAAATCCTTTCAATTTAACGGTGTTCAGAACAGAGTCGCGATCATTATAGTGGCGCTCATTATTAACATTTATTCTACTCGCAAGCTAATGTGAAACTAATAAACTTGATCTCACGTTTCTATTTCAATCGCCACGAGTTAGGGAACGTATATGGAATAAAGTTTAGCATGTTTCAGATGATAAAACAGTAACATTTTCTATAAAATAATTGTTTTTTTACAGTAGTAAAACTACAATACTTGTGTCTTAATTTCTTCACTTGCACGCGTTCAACTATTTTGCTTTTATTTTGGTGGTTTCTGTGAAAGTAGGTTTACAAACGCTGAAAGTTTGAGTAATTAATGAGAAACTCTGTAAACGAAGCAGAAACATATGCATGAACTCAGTTTGTTTACATGTTGAAGAAACCGAGAGAATAATCATGTTTTAATGCAGAACTAGTTGAACATGCATCAGAACAGACATGATGACGTGTGTGTGTGTGTCACTGCTCTTTTACGATGTGTGTGTGTGTGTGTGTGTGTGTGTGTGTGTGTGTGTGTGTGTGTGTGTGTGTGTGTGTGTGTGTGAGCGTCTCTTATTCCCGCAGGTTCACCGGGTTCACATGAGCTTTCGCTGTTATGTAACCTGGAATATATTTCTGTGTCTCTCTTTCCCCTTCACACACAGAGTGAGAAACTGACTAAGCGAGAAGTGGAAGCCAAGTTCTGCAACCTCTCCTTGTCCAGCAACAGCGTAAGTCTCAGATTCTGGAGGTTCAATGATGATGAAAATCAGCTTTGATCACAGGAATAAATTACACTTTACTGTATATGTGAAGTCCGCACACTGAAAATTACTGCTCCAAATGAATTTATTAAAAGTAGTGCTGTCAAACAATTAAAATATTTAATCGCGATTAATCGCACATTTTTATCTATTCTAAATGTCTCTTGATTTCTTTTTGTCCCATTATTTTTTCTCATTTTAATGCTCTTATTAACATGGAAAAGTGGGTCGGCTTGCTTTGTGCAAATGTTTTTTATTGAAAACAACATTGGCATATACAGTGTTCAATTTCACACTAACATTCTCACTTGGAGCAAATAATCTCTCAATGTAACACTGTCCATCAATAAAAGGGTGAAAGAAATACTGACGAGGTCCTGATATTGACAAGGGGCGGAGAATTGTGTGTGTGTGTGTGTGTGTGTGTGCTTGGCCATCATCAAGTGGTATTTCAGACTGGACGTGCTGCGATGATGATAGCTCAGTTCACAACGACAAACACACAGATCACTTTGGTCTCGTCAATGGGACCATTTGGCAACTTTTTAAAAGTAAATTTCCATTCAGAATCTTATTGGCATCCATTTCGGCGTCTCGCGCTCGTCATCCACTCAAAACGTAACGTTAACCAACTATTTGTCCGGCTCGCAAGCCCAAACGAGTGTGTGCGTCGTGCCTGTTGTTTTGTTTCCGGTCTAGCTAGATCCGCTTGCGCTTTGGTCGACGAAGCAACAAAACGTCCTCGCGCGGCACAAGCCACTGAAATGAATGGGTTTCATCATAGCGCAGCGCCGCGCGGCCGCGTCCTGTTGCAAAAGCATGTGAAAAAAACGACACAGTTTGCTAGGCCAAAAAGAGCGTTAATCGCGTGATAAAAAAATTGACGCCGTTAAAATGGGTTTGCGTTAACGCCGTAAATAACGTGTTTAACTGACAGCCCTTATTAAAAGGCAACGTTTCGACCCTCAGGTCTTCATCAGGCACAATATCAGTGTAGAGTGAAGTCAACTTTAAATAGACACAGGTGATCACCTTAATTGGGCACACACACAAAAAAAATCATATGACAAATACAAGTAACGTGACAAGTCACACACACACACAAAAATAAAAAAATAAAAAAAATAAGATAAATAAATACAATTTTACAAGTCACAAAAAAATAAAATAATAATTTCACATCACTATAAAAATGGCTTAATATCAAAATCCTCATTCAACCCTAAAGGTGACAAAGTGCTTAAAGTATAAATCCAAAAACATTCCCTCTGTAATAATTTCTTCTCATAATCTCCTCCTCTTGAGGATTTTGTAACCTTTTCTATAGCGATATTCTGCAAAGCGCTGACGGTATGGCCTACTGGTCTAAAGTGAGACGCTATAGGACTGCGCATATCTCCAGGTCTAATATTACTGCGATGTTCACTAACACGGTTTGTCCTAATTGTCCTGCACCTGAGCCCAATCTGGGGGTTTGGGATGTGCACACCATTTTTGTATTTTTTGACTTTACTATATATTATTCACATAGAAAACAACAGATTTACACTGGAATAATATTTCAGTTTTTTTATCACATAAATGCAGCATTAGAGACTCAAAAACATAAAAAAATCATAATTAATCCAAACTTTTGACTTTTAATGAGTCTACTACATACAGTATACAATAATAGATGCAAAAGAATGTTTACTTGAAGTCTTTATGTGTAATGCATTAATGATGTATTCATACGTTGCAATGCATTATATATTTTCATAAATAAATGCATTATAATATTCACAGACTCCTTGTTACATCTCAGATTGCTTGTTTGTTGTGTGTTTTAATGCATTATACTTTCTATAGGAGTGTTCAGTGAATAGATAAGCATTATAACTGTATTTACAATTATTCATGAGATCATAAAATGGATTAAAAGGTGCATTGCAGGCATAGTTAATGCATAAAAATAATTTTATAATGCATTTAATATAGGCCTGTCACAATCATGAATTTTGACGGTTAACAAATAATTGTGATTGATTAAATTGTGTTGCGGTGTTAACTTTGAATCTTATATAATATAATAATAAAAACTGTGATAAAATAGGTCCATATGATTTACTTCAGTGCTGTGAAAATTAATAATTGCATTTTTATAATGAATTATTTAAATATATCACATCTAGGGATGCACGATATATCGGCCACATTATCGGTATCGGCCGATATATGATCATTTTTAATGTTATCGTTATCGGCCCGACAAAGAAAATTTAGCCGATATATTAAAGCCGATAAATAATGTATTATTTCCTTCAGCTGAGACGCTTCAGATGCGCACTGTTCAACACGATGCTTTTAAACTGCTTGAAATATGATTGAAATCACTTTAAAAAAGGAAAATCCAGTTAAAGTGCCGCAAGTCTGTCATATCGGCTACATAACATTATAATGAGAACATCATAATTGTGTTTGTATCTTGGCTTTTAATGGTGAGACTTTTGTTTTTATAATCAGGCTCTCAAAAATTATCTAAAAATTTGGATTTAGATTTATCTGCCAATATATCGGTTATCGGCTTCCAAATGTAAAGAGTTATCGGTTATCGGTATCGGCCAAAATTGTCATATCGGTGCATCTCTAATCATATCTCATATCATATAATATAATGCAGTCTGATTAAACTAAAGTCTTAATTTCGTGTGAAGTAAGACACATTATTGCACATTTGATGGCATTTTCTATAAACGCCTGAATTCAGTGGCAATTGAAATTTAAACTGCATTAATATTGCGGTCTCAAATAATTGTGATTAGATCATATATCCACGATCAGACGATTAATACATAATTACTTTTTTCTAAAGCACTTTCAACACCACAGAACTGTACAGAAAGAATAAAACACACATGGAACCGATAAAGCATTAACCACACAACAACAGCTGCGATCGGCCTGATTTATAAAGACTTGAAGTAAAGAGGAGGAAATGAACTAGAACTGCGTGTGATTCAGTGGTTTGGAACTGAAATGGTGTGTGTGTGTGTGTGTGTGTCAGTTACAGACGCTGTATAAGTTCATCGAGCAGAAGGGAAGCTTGCAGGATCTTCTTCCTCTCATGAACTCACTCACAAAGCAGAAGAGTTCGGCTGTGGCTCAGATGGCCAAGCAAGGCCTGAAGGATCTGGAGGAGGTCCTGCACCTCCTGAACAAACTGGCTGTGAAACTGCAGGTGTGTGTGTGTGTGTGTGTGTGTTATCTGACACTCTTCATCTTCTGGACCAGCTTCCTCTTCATCAGCTGTCCTTCTATTACTTTAACAGTGTAACAGATATTAACAGTGTCAATGTCCCAAAATTCATCGATTCGGAAACGATTTCTTTTTAATGTTGATTAAATTCAGTTCAATAACAGTCAATGTCACAAAATTCATCAATTATGATTTTTTTAATGTTGATTAAATGTAGTTCAATAACAGTCAGTTGCAAAAATCATCAATTATGATTTTTTAAATGTTGACTAAATTCAGCTCAATAACAGTCAATGTTGCAAAATTCATCAATTATGATTTTTTTTCATGTTGATTTAATTCAGTTCAATAACAATGAATGTTGCAAAATTCATCAATTATGATTTTTTTAATGTTGATTTAATTTTAATAACAATCAATGTTGCAAAATTCATCAATTATGAAAGATTTTTTAATGTTGATTAAATTTAGTTCAATAACAGTCAATGTTGCAAAATTCATCAATTATGATTTTTTTTAATGTTGATTAAATTCAGTTCAATAACAGTCAATGTTGCAAAATTCATCAATTATGATTTTTTTTAATGTTGATTAAATTCAGTTCAATAACAGTCAATGTTGCAAAATTCATCAATTATGAAAGATTTTTTAATGTTGATTAAATTCAGTTCAATAACAGACAATGTTGCAAAATCCATCAATTATGAAAGATTTTTTAATGTTGATTAAATTCAGTTCAATAACAATCAATGTTGCTAAATTAATCAATTATGATTTTTTTAATGTTAATTAAATTCAGTTTAATAACAGTCAATGTCACAAAATTCATCAATTATGAAAGATTTTTTAAAGTTGATTAAATTTAGTTCAATAACAGTCAATGTTGCAAAATTCATCAATTATGATTATTTTAATGTTGATTCAATTCAGTTCAATAACAGTCAATGATGCAAAATTCATCAATTTGAAAGATTTTTTTAATGTTGATTAAATTCAGTTCAATAACAGTCAATGTTGAAAAATTAATCAATTATGATTTTTTTCAAAATGTTGATTAAATTCAGTTCAATAACAGTCAATGTTGAAAAATTAATCAATTATGATTTAAAAAAAAATGTTGATTCAATTCAGTTCAATAACAGTCAATGTCACAAAATTCATCAATTATGATTTTTTTTAATGTTGATTCAATTCAGTTCAATAACAGTAAATGTCACAAAATTCATCAATTATGATTTTTTTTAATGTTGGTTAAATTCAGTTCAATAACAGACAATGTTGCAAAATTCATCAATTATGATTTTTTTTAATGTTGATTCAATTCAGTTCAATAACAGTCAATGTCACAAAATTCATCAATTATGATTTTTTTAATGTTGATTCAATTCAGTTCAATAACAGTCAATGTTGCAAAATTCATCAATTATGATTTTTTATGTTGATTAAATTAAGTTCAATAACAGTCAATGATGCAAAATTGATCAATTATGATTTTTTAAAATGTTGATTAAATTAAGTTCAATAACAGTCAATGATGCAAAATTGATCAATTATGATTTTTTAAAATGTTGATTAAATTCAGTTCAATAACAGTCAATGTTGAAAAATTAATCAATTATGATTTTTTTTTAAATGTTGATTAAATTCAGTTCAATAACAGTCAATGTTGAAAAATTAATCAACTCTGATCTTTTTTTTAAATGTTGATTAAATTCAGTTCAATAACAGTCAATGTTGAAAAATTCATCAATTATGAAAGATTTTTTTTAATGTCGATTAAATTCAGTTCAATAACAGTCAATGATGCAAAATTGATCAATTATGATTTTTTTAATGTTGATTAAATTCAGTTCACTAACAGTCAATGTTGCAAAATTCATCAATTATGATTTTTTAAATGTTGATTAAATTCAGTTCAATAACAGTCAATGTTGAAAAATTAATCAATTATGATTTTTTTTTAATGTTGATTCAATTCAGTTTAATAACAGTCAATGTCACAAAATTCATCAATTATGAAAGATTTTTTTAATGTTGATTAAATTCAGTTCAATAACAGTCAATGTTGCAAAATTCATCAATTATGATTTTTTAAATGTTGATTAAATTCAGTTCAATAACAGTCAATGTTGCAAAATTCATCAATTATGATTTTTTTTAATGTTGATTAAATTCAGTTCAATAACGGTCAGTTGCAAAATTCATCAATTATGATTTTTTTAATGTTGATTAAATTAAGTTCAATAACAGTCAATGATGCAAAATTGATCAATTATGAACGATTTTTTTAATGTTGATTAAATTCAGTTCACTAACAGTCAATGTTGCAAAATTCATCAATTATGATATTTTAAATGTTGATTAAATTCAGTTCAATAACAGTCAATGTTGAAAAATTAATCAATTATGAATTTTTTTTTAAATGTTGATTCAATTCAGTTTAATAACAGTCAATGTCACAATATTCATCAATTATGAAAGATTTTTTTTAATGTTGATTAAATTCAGTTTAATAACAGTCAATGTTGCAAAATTCATCAATTATGATTTTTTTAATGTTGATTAAATTCAGTTCAATAACAGTCAATGTTGCAAAATTCATCAATTATGATTTTTTAATGTTGATTAAATTCAGTTCAATAACAGTCAATGATGCAAAATTGATCAATTATGAAAGATTTTTTTTAATGTTGATTAAATTCAGTTCAATAACGGTCAATGTTGCAAAATTCATCAATTATGATTTTTTTAATGTTGATTAAATTAAGTTCAATAACAGTCAATGATGCAAAATTCATCAATTATGATTTTTTTTAATGTTGATTAAATTCAGTTCCATAACAGTCAATGTTGCAAAATTCATCAATTATGATTTTTTTAATGTTGATTAAATTAAGTTCAATAACAGTCAATGATGCAATTGATCAATTATGATTTTTTAAATGTTGATTAAATTCAGTTCAATAACAGTCAATGATGCAAAATTGATCAATTATGAACGATTTTTTTTAATGTTGATTAAATTCAGTTCAATAACAGTCAATGTTGCAAAATTCATCAATTATGATTTTTTTAATGTTGATTAAATTCAGTTCAATAACAGTCAATGATGCAAAATTCATCAATTATGAACGATTTTTTTTAATGTTGATTAAATTCAGTTCAATAACAGTCAATGTTGCAAAATTCATCAATTATGATTTTTTTTAATGTTGATTAAATTCAGTTCAATAACAGTCAATGTTGCAAAATTCATCAATTATGATTTTTTAAATGTTGATTAAATTCAGTTCAATAACAGTCAATGTTGAAAAATTTATCAATTATGATTTTTTTTAAATGTTGATTCAATTCAGTTTAATAACAGTCAATGTCACAAAATTCATCAATTATGAAAGATTTTTTTTAATGTTGATTAAATTCAGTTCAATAACAGTCAATGTTGCAAAATTAATCAATTGTGATTTTTTTTAAATGTTGATTCAATTCAGTTTAATAACAGTCAATGTCACAAAATTCATCAATTATGAAAGATTTTTTTTAATGTTGATTAAATTCAGTTCAATAACAGTCAATGTTGCAAAATTCATCAATTATGATTTTTTTAATGTTGATTAAATTCAGTTCAATAACAGTCAATGTTGCAAAATTCATCAATTATGATTTTTTTAATGTTGATTAAATTAAGTTCAATAACAGTCAATGATGCAAAATTGATCAATTATGAACGATTTTTTTTAATGTTGATTAAATTCAGTTCAATAACAGTCAATGTTGCAAAATTCATCAATTATGATTTTTTTAATGTTGATTAAATTTAAGTTCAATAACAGTCAATGATGCAAAATTGATCAATTATGATTTTTTAAATGTTGATTAAATTAAGTTTAATAACAGTCAATGATGCAAAATTGATCAATTATGAACGATTTTTTTAATGTTGATTAAATTCAGTTCAATAACAGTCAATGTTGCAAAATTGATAAATTATGAACGATTTTTTTAATGTTGATTAAATTAAGTTCAATAACAGTCAATGATGCAATTGATCAATTTTGATTTTTTAAATGTTGATTAAATTCAGTTCAATAACAGTCAATGATGCAAAATTGATCAATTATGAACGATTTTTTTTAATGTTGATTAAATTCAGTTCAATAACAGTCAATGTTGCAAAATTCATCAATTATGATTTTTTTAATGTTGATTAAATTCAGTTCAATAACAGTCAATGTTGCAAAATTCATCAATTATGATTTTTTTTAATGTTGATTAAATTCAGTTCAATAACAGTCAATGATGCAAAATTGATCAATTATGAACGATTTTTTTTAATGTTGATTAAATTCAGTTCAATAACAGTCAATGTTGCAAAATTCATCAATTATGATTTTTTTAATGTTGATTAAATTCAGTTCAATAACAGTCAACGTCACAAAATTCATCAATTATGAAACAATTTTTTTAATGTTGATTCAGTTCAATAACAGTCGATGTCAGAAGATTGATCAGTTGTGGTGTGAAACTGCAGGTGTGACGGCTCTGTGTGTGTGATATCGGATGTTCTTCATCTCCTGGATCAGTTCTCCTCCTCATCTGAATGTGTGTGTCGTGTGTCCTGAAGGTGGTGGTGAATCTGGGTTTGGTCTATAAGGTCCAGCATCACTGCGGGGTCATCTTCCAGTTTGTGGCGTTCATCAGGAAACGGAAACGCACCGTCCCGGATATCTTGGCGGCCGGCGGACGCTACGATCATCTGGTAACACCAACACAACTGCACAACTGCACAAAACTGAGCAACATTTCAATCTCTTAATTGTCTCATAATTTATTTTTTGTTTTTCTGCCTTATATATATTTTTATTTTATATTTATTTTTTATTATTATTTTATATTTTATTTATTTGCCCCATATTTCCCTATGAAATTATAGTAAAAATATATATTATTTATTTTCCCTATATTTTATTATTATTTAAAATAAAATTGTCCTATGTTTCCTATATTTTAGTATTATTTTAGTACTTTATATTTATTTTTATTATTGTTTTATATTTTATTCATTTGCGCTATAATAATATAAACAATTAATACAATTAATATAAAATGATAGTACAATATATTTTATTTAATTGCCCTATATTTCATTATATTTTATTATTATTATTTAATTAATGTTGCAAAATTAATCAATTCTGAATTTTTTTTTTTTTGTAAAATTCATCAATTATGATTTTTTTTTTATGTTGATTAAATTTAGTTCAATAACATTGTCACTGTCAATGTTGCAAAATTCATCAATTATGAAACAAATTGGAGTTCCTCACCGGAAGACGAGAGTCATTATTCAGATCAAGTGTTTTCCTGCTGGTCAGATCATGGAGTTTCACGGGCCGACGGTGTCGAGTCCGGTCCCGTCAGCGGTCGGCGCCAGCATCGCTCTGGATAAGATCTGCTCTGCTGTGGCCAATATGGAGGAACCTGTGAGTGTGTGTTTGTGTGTGTGTGTGTGAGAGCAGTTGCTCATTATCATTTAAAGAGACATGCACTGCAACGGGTCGCTGTGAACAGAGCTGTTCTTGAGGAGGGAAAAGTGTGTTGTTTTACACAACCATTGAGGAATTTTAACCAAAGTATGTTACAAACTTTACATGAAGACCCTAAAGAATCGTCCCAACTCGTGCAAAATGGGCATCCGACGACCCCTTTAAATGTGCTATTTAAATGAAGGTGACTTGACTTGACACTCTGTGTGTGTGTGTGTGTGTGTGTCAGCCTCCTGTGAGCTCCTGTGATGTTCTGGTGGTTCCCGTGGGTCAGTCCTCCATGAGCAGAGCCGTTAATGTCATTCAGAAACTCTGGGCGGCCGGAGTCTCGACAGACATCGTCTACGATGTGTCTCAGGTCAGTGTTTATGTGATGTTTGATGAGCCAAAACACTCACAGGTGGAGCCAAAAATGTTGGTCACATGACAAGTTCTGAGAAGATGATTGGTGAACGATCCGTTCTTGTGGTCAGTGTGTTGATGCAGCAGAAATGGGCAAGGAGACACTTTTGACACCTATAGGGGTGTCCGATATTGACAAAAAAATTATATTTCAATATATTTATTGATAGTAATAATTAGACGATATTTTGCTGTGTGTTTATTGTGTCTGTACCTTGACAGCTGACTCCTAACGCTTTTGATATTCTTCATATTCTGTGTGCTGGTCAGTTCACAGTGACAGAAATCATCTTTTACAATATTTTAAATTGATTTTTACCTTTTTATGGGCATTTTTGCCTTTATAAAGACTTTTTAGTGTCAAATTCTTACATTTAATCAATAAATTTAATTAGAATAATGATACACAATAGGGTGGTTACCACTCAAATGAAATCAATATCAACTAAATTAATATTTGCGATGAAGTTTAGATGTTTTAACACAGACTGTTCAATGAAGCTCAGAGCGACATGAGTGTGTTTAACCTGCAGTTACACATGCAGAAATAATGTAAACATAAAATGTTGAATATTGATATTTGAAAGGATTTAAAATATGGAAAGATACTTTAAATGTGAAATTAAAACCACCAGTAGGTGGCAGCAAGTCACTGTTAATGAGTGAGTCATTGAGTTTCAACTGATTCATTTAAGTCTTAATGAGTGAGTCATTGAGTTTCAACTGATTCATTTAAGTCTTAATGAGTGAGTCATTGAGTTTCAACTGATTCATTTAAGTCTTAATGAGTGAGTCATTGATTCATTCATTCAGTGAGGAAACACCGCCGTGTCGCTCAGAGACGCAAATAGAGCAAAAACAGCCAATATTGTGTCTAAAAAGTCACTTAATATTAACTTGTTTATTGAACAGTTGTATAAAATCAATATCACATTTGTAATCATGCTGATATTTGGAGATAATTAATGATCATTAAATTATATAAATAAATAAAAAATACACAAATAGAAAACGATAACCCCATTATCTTGATTATTGACGGCATTATAAATGCATTTTAATAGAATGCATGTAATAAATCACCCACTAGTACAACAGAATATTAGGCAGGTGGTTATAATGTTTTGCCTCATCTGTGTATTATGAAATTTTGTTCTGTTGCAATAAAAAATAATCTTGCTTTGGTTAGTCTGTGTTCACATTGAAGATAAACCGATGAAAATGCCCTTGATGTTTGCTTATTAGTGCAGTTCTGCATGAGTGAGTGCTAATGAAGCGGAGTCGTTCCTCTCGATCACTCACATGTTCCAGTGCTTGAGTTCACAACACACACAGGAGAGAGAGAGAGAGAGAGTGTGTGTGTGTGTGATGTGAGAGAGAGAGAGAGAGTCAGAGTGAGTGCTAATGAAGCGGAGTCGTTCCTCTCGATCACTCACATTTTCTAGTGCTTGAGTTCACAACACACAAAGATCAGAGAGAGAGAGTGAGTGTGTGTGTGTGAGTGAGTGAGTGAGTGAGTGAGTGAGTGAGTGAGTGAGTGAGTGAGTGAGTGAGTGAGTGTGTGAGTGAGTGTGTGAGTGTGTGTGAGTGAGTGAGTGAGTGAGTGAGTGTGAGTGTTTGAGGGAGTGTGTGGGTGTGTGAGGGAGTGTGTGAGTGTGTGTGTGAGTGAGTGAGTGAGTGAGTGAGTGAGTGAGTGTGTGTGTGTGTGAGTGTGTGAGTGAGTGAGTGAGTGAGTGTGTGAGTGAGTGAGTGAGTGAGTGAGTGAGTGAGTGAGTGAGTGAGTGTGTGAGTGAGTGAGTGTGTGTGTGATACAGCACAGAGAGACGTCTATTTCATCATTATCAGCAGGTTTTTCAATGACTCAAGTGAGTTACAGTGTAGAGTCCATCAGAGCCGCTCCTCACTCACTGAACCACAGAGCAATGTTATTATTATTCTGTTCGACTCGAAACCACAGGCATCAAATCCCTCAGGATTTTCATCCTTATTACTGGGCGGTTCTCGGGCAGGAGAAGCTTGTATTGATTGACAAAACGGAATGACTTTACAATAATTTTGACACACTCTTATGAATGCAGTCAGATGTGTGTGTGTGTGTTTGTGTGTAAATGTGTGTTTTTGTGCCACAGTCACAAGAAGCTCTTCTGGAACATTGCAGACAAGCTGGAATCACATTCATGGTCCTCGTGTCTGATAAAGAAGGAAATCACCTGAAGGTAAATCACATCAACACCCGCACTCGAGCTCAAAAACACTAGTAATATTCAGTAATATTATCGATTGAACTTCACTGACACTATCGGATAAGAACTGAATTGATCTGAATAGTGACACCCTTTCCTTCCGTTGAGCTTCTTTACAGCGGAATTTAAATTAGTTTCATAATTGATGAATTTTGCAAAAGGCACTCATTGAACTGAATCAACATTAAAAAATTAGTTTCATAATTGATTAATTTTGCAATCGACTGTTATAGAATGGAATTGAATCAACATTAAAAAATCATATTTGATGAGTTTTGCAACATTGACTAATTAAACTGAATTTATTTAACATAAAAAAATCATAATTGATGAATTTTGCAACATTGACTGTAATTGAACTGAATTTATTAAATATTTAAAAAATCATAATTTATGAATTTTACAACATTGTCTGTTATTGAACTGAATTTAATCAACATTAAAAAAGATCATAATTGATGAATTTTGCAACATTGACTGTAATTGAACTGAATTTATTCAATATTTAAAAAATCATAATTTATGAATTTGACAACATTGACTGTTATTGAACTGAATTGAATCAACATTTAATTTTTTTTCATAATTGATTAACTTAACAACATTAACTGCTATTTTCCTGTTTATTAATGTAATCTGTATTGTTTAAAGCACTATAGAACTATAGAAAGGCACTATAGAAGTCTCTCGTCTCCCGTCAGGTGAAGTCGTTTGAGAAAGACCGTCAGTCGGAGAAGAGAATCCCCGAGGCGGATCTGGTTGATCACTTCATCCAGAAGAGCCGGATCAAACTCTCCGAGGAGAGGAACAGGTGAGAGACGCAAACCAAACAATCAGGCTGTTAAACATATGGATTTCTCAATTTTAATCAATTCTCATTTTCATTAATCGATTTCTTCAATCTGTAATTGTACGACTCGATGTTTTAATGCTGTTTTCAGTTGATGCACAAGCAAAACTTCACTAAAATAACTCTCGCCGTTACATAATCACAATAAGCTTTGTGCTTTTGATTCTGTCACTTTAATAAAGAAATTCAGAGTCAGTAAGTGTGTGCTTAATGTGTGTGACAGATCATCTCTTCATCTTTACTACTAGTTACAGCAGCAAATAAACATCAATGAACATCAGAAGGAAAGTTGAAATATTCAGAACCACTTCCTGAAATCAATCATGTCTCATTAATCCATCAATCAGTGTTTCAGCCGCCAATAAAACATCTGGAGAACAATAACCTCACATTAAAGCCTTCTGTGACCAAAGCCTTCTGATATGCAATATATTATTATATTTGAAATGAACCTTTTCTTCAATATTTAATGTATGTTTGAATAAATAAGTCATGAAAACAAATGGAGTTCGCTGTGTAATTTATAGCCTTAATTAAGAGATTTTTTTCATTTTGAAAATTTGACGTACTGTACCTGCTATATATATCCGTAATAATCGATATCGAAATCAAATAGAATTGGGAAATATTGAAATATATTCCAGTTCAAAAAAAGGTACAAAGCAATGGTTTTCAAAAAATATAGAAAAGAAGGAAGGCCTCTAAACAGTTGCAATATGTGTTTATTGAGGTATGTGTATGATTATATATATATATATATAGAGAGAGAGAGAGAGAGAGAGAGTATAAGATAAATGTGACAAATATAAATAAGATATAAATATGTGGTAAATGAAATAATATAATAATAATGTACTAAGTTGTAGGATTAAATAAGTGTATACTTCTTCCTACTGTTTTTCAGACATGTTTATGTTGCCAAATGTTAATTATTGTTAACTGAGAGATTTGCTTATTCAACTTATTAGTAAATTTTTTTCTGATGTTTTGTTTGGTTTATTTTTTGATATGTCTGAAATAAAATTCATTCATTCATTCAAACATACATACATACATATATACATATATATCTCTATATATTCATATATATTTGTGTGAATGCCCAGCCCTGGCAAACCATGTTTCAGATATCTAATGCTGTTCTCTGTCATCTGTCCATCAGAGAGGTTTCAGAGAGCGTTTCTCTCCAGAATCCCAAGGGATCGTCTCTGGGAAACTCAGGTACAGCCTTCCCTGGCCTCTATGTGTAGTATGTGTGTATGTATATGTATATGCATGTATGTGTAGTATGTTAGTATGCGTGTATGTGTGTATGCGTGTATATGTGTATGCATGTATGTGTAGTATGTGTGTATGTGTGTATGTGTGTATGCATGTATGTGTAGTATGTTAGTATGTGTGTATGTGTAGTATGTGTGTATGCATGTATGTGTAGTATGTTAGTATGCGTGTATGTGTAGTATGTTAGTATGCATGTATGTGTAGTATGTTAGTATGCGTGTATGTGTAGTATGTGTGTATGTGTAGTATGTGTGTATGCATGTATGTGTGTATGTGTAGTATGTGTGTATGTGTGTATGCATGTATGTCTAGTATGTGTGTATGTGTATATGTGTAGTATGTGTGTATGCATGTATGTGTAGTATGTGTGTATGCATGTATGTGTAGTATATGTGTATGTGTAGTATGTGTGTATGTGCAGTATGTGTAGTATATGTGTATGTGTAGTATGTGTGTATGTGCAGTATGTGTGTATGCATGTATGTGTGTATGTGTAGTATGTGTGTATGTGTAGTATGTGTGTATGCATGTACGTGTAGTATGTGTGTATGCATGTATGTGTAGTATGTGTGTATGTGTAGTATGTGTGTATGCATGTATGTGTAGTATGTGTGTATGTGTAGTATGTGTGTATGCATGTATGTGTAGTATGTGTGTATGCATGTATGTGTAGTATGTGTGTATGCATGTATGTGTAGTATGTGTGTATGCATGTATGTGTGTATGTGTAGTATGTGTGTATGCATGTATGTGTGTATGTGTAGTATTTGTGTATGCATGTATGTGTAGTATGTATAGTATGTGTGTATGCATGTATGTGTGTATGCATGTATGTGTGTATGTGTAGTATGTGTGTATGTGTAGTATGTGTGTATGCGTGTATGTGTGTATGCGTGTATGTGTAGTATGTGTGTATGTGTAGTATGTGTTTATGTGTAGTATGTGTGTATGCATGTCTGTGTAGTATGTTAGTATGTGTGTATGTGTGTATGCATGTATGTGTAGTATGTTAGTATGTGTGTATGTGTAGTATGTGTGTATGCATGTATGTGTGTATGTGTGTATGCATGTATGCATGTATGTGTAGTATGTGTGTATGCATGTATGTGTGTATGCATGTATGTGTAGTATGTTAGTATGTGTGTATGTGTGTATGCATGTATGTGTGTATGTGTGTATGTGTAGTACGTGTGTATGCATGTATGTGTAGTATGTTAGTATGTGTGTATGCATGTATGTGTAGTATGTGTGTATGCATGTATGTGTGTATGCATGTATGTGTAGTATGTTAGTATGTGTGTATGTGTGTATGCATGTATGTGTGTATGTGTGTATGTGTAGTACGTGTGTATGCATGTATGTGTAGTATGTTAGTATGTGTGTATGCATGTATGTGTAGTATGTGTGTATGCATGTATGTGTGTATGCATGTATGTGTAGTATGTTAGTATGTGTGTATGTGTGTATGCATGTATGTGTGTATGTGTAGTACGTGTGTATGCATGTATGTGTAGTATGTTAGTACGTGTGTATGCATGTATGTGTAGTATGTTAGTATGTGTGTATGCATGTAGGTGTAGTATGTGTGTATGTGTAGTATGTGTGTATGCATGTGTGTGTATGCATGTATGTGTGTATGTGTAGTATTTGTGTATGCATGTATATGTAGTATGTGTGTATGCATGTATGTGTGTAGGTGTAGTATGTGTGTATGCATGTATGTGTAGTATGTGTGTATGCATGTATGTGTAGTATGTGTGTATGCGTGTATGTGTGTATGCATGTATGCATGTATGCGTGTATGTGTGTATGCATGTATGTGTAGTATGTGTGTATGCATGTATGTGTAGTATGTTAGTATGTGTGTATGCATGTATGTGTAGTATGTTAGTATGTGTGTATGTGTAGTATGTGTGTATGCATGTATGTGTAGTATGTGTAGTATGTGTGTATGTGTGTATGCATGTATGTGTAGTATGTGTGTATGTGTAGTATGTGTGTATGCATGTATGTGTAGTATGTGTGTATGCATGTATGTGTAGTATGTTAGTATGTGTGTATGTGTGTATGCATGTATGTGTAGTATGTGTGTATGCATGTATGTGTAGTATGTGTGTATGTGTAGTATGTGTGTATGCATGTATGTGTAGTATGTGTGTATGTGTAGTATGTGTGTATGCATGTATGTGTAGTATGTGTGTATGTGTAGTATGTGTGTATGCATGTATGTGTAGTATGTTAGTATGCGTGTATGTGTAGTATGTTAGTATGCGTGTATGTGTAGTATGTGTGTATGTGTAGTATGTGTGTATGCATGTATGTGTAGTATGTGTGTATGTGTAGTATGTGTGTACGTGTAGTATGTGTGTATGCATGTATGTGTAGTATGTGTGTATGTGTAGTATGTGTGTATGCATGTATGTGTAGTATGTGTGTATGTGTAGTATGTGTGTATGCATGTATGTGTAGTATGTTAGTATGCGTGTATGTGTAGTATGTTAGTATGCGTGTATGTGTAGTATGTGTGTATGTGTAGTATGTGTGTATGCATGTATGTGTAGTATGTGTGTATGTGTAGTATGTGTGTATGCATGTATGTGTAGTATGTGTGTATGTGTAGTATGTGTGTATGCATGTATGTGTAGTATGTGTGTATGTGTGTATGCATGTATGTGTAGTATGTGTGTATGTGTAGTATGTGTGTATGTGTAGTATGTGTGTATGCATGTATGTGTAGTATGTGTAGTATGTGGGCCAGTGACAAATAAGGTTTTCAACTGATAAAAAATTCAAATAGGTTAAAACTGCACATCAAAGTAGTTATTATCTTTATGGGGATGTTTTTTACTTATTACTAAAATCTCAATTTTAAACAATGTATTTTAAGCGGTTTAACTGAGAAATATGTGACGACACCAGTCAAAATGTCATACGGGATAACGTTAATGCATTTTCTAAATATTATGATATTAAAACTTTTCAAATCAAAAATACTTAATGAATATGTAAAGTGATGCAGTAAACAATATTTAAAGCTCAGAAAAAAATATCTGCACAACTATTTTTTTCTCATTATATTGTGATTTCTTTAAACGTGACCCTACTTGTTCAAGTTCTTTACACACATTTTAACACTGCAATGTGATTTAAAATGCAAAATGTCTGAAAAAGTTTTACAGGACTTGATATCATGTTATTATTGTTTCCTCAACTCCATTAAGTGAAATTATGCATTTTAATGGGAAAAAACAGCGTTATCCCGCCTGACTTAAATTGTTACCCGGTATGACACCATATGAGTTAACACATGAATTCAACACTTACACATAATAATGTTCATAAATAATTAATGTTATGCAATGTTTTTCCAAGGAAATTAATTAGGCTCCACTTTAGAGGAATAGAGATGTGGTTTTCAGTGTGTAAACTGTTACACACAAACTCAGTGTGGTTTCTTCCCAGATTTTTTTTCATGTTTATGAATATCAAACAGCACAACTTTTCAACGTTAGGTTTAATTTATTACTGAAAAGTTTGAACCATTTTACTGATCATAGTCACTCTACATCAATATTCATAAATAATGTAAAGGGTTAAAGTAGGCGACCTTCACTGATTTCACTGAACAAATTTACAAAAGATGTAATTGAACAACATATTTATAAAGAAAAATCTTATTAATGGGTTGAACACTGAATCACTAAATTTCATTAAATGAACACTAAATGTTATTTTAGACAATGTCTATAGTAAATGTAATGTAACTGTAATTGAATATTCTTATGAATTTTATATTTTGCTAATATTCAACTAAACAATGTTAATGATATGTTAATATCACAATTTGAATGGAAATTATGCAAATTAAAGCTGAAAACTGTATAAGAATATATTGTCAAACACGTCATCCAAGATAACGGATGACATTATGGGCTAACAACTGTTATCCTATATGACAAAATTGTTATCCGGTATGACAAAACTCAGATTAAATCTTAATCAGGCAGTATTTTTGGCTACCTATAGAAATCTGCAACCTTTACCTTCAACTTCCAAATATGTAAATTCATGCTAAATAAACAATTGACATAAAATCCACATTATATATGTTATTTTAGCATTATCCCATATGACACAGGATTTTACTACATAGTGTGCTAGTGAGGAAAAAGGGTAAGTTAAACACATTTTATGAAAGACATAAAAGACTTTCACCATTGTTTGGGGGTCCTTCAGGGTTTTCCTGATTGTGTAACATGCTGTCTCACATCGTGTCAAAATAAAATTTACATTAAAATTGCTCCAATTTGCTTGTTATCCCGTATGACATTGGCTGACAGCCAGTTTTGGGACAGAATGCTCCAAAGCATAACCATCAACTGGATGTCATATTCTTTGTAATATTTAAATATATTGTTGTCAAGACTCATACAATAATGCCTGTGGCAGAGATGTTAGGGTTTATTAGATTTTTTACAGTTTGTTTGGCTTTTTTGTATGTCACTCTAAGGTCCGGACAGTTATCCGGTATGACATTATGAGACTATGTCTAATAATTCTTACACTTTGTAATACCCTCACTATATGTTCATATCATTTGATAAACAGAGATTAATAGATTCAATAAATGTGCTTTTTATTAAACATTTCCTTATTTTGACTTCATAAAGCGGTTTGGACATCAAAATTGCACGTCACGTCATTGGGCCTTGTGTGTATGCATGTATGTGTAGTATGTGTGTATGTGTGTATGCATGTATGTGTAGTATGTGTGTATGTGTAGTATGTGTGTATGTGTAGTATGTGTAGTATGTGTGTATGTGTGTATGTGTAGTATGTGTGTATGCATGTATGTGTAGTATGTGTGTATGTGTGTATGCATGTATGTGTAGTATGTGTGTATGTGTGTATGCATGTATGTGTAGTATGTGTGTATGTGTAGTATGTGTGTATGTGTAGTATGTGTAGTATGTGTGTATGTGTGTATGTGTAGTATGTGTGTATGCATGTATGTGTAGTATGTGTGTATGTGTGTATGCATGTATGTGTAGTATGTGTGTATGTGTGTATGCATGTATGTGTAGTATGTGTGTATGTGTAGTATGTGTGTATGTGTAGTATGTGTAGTATGTGTGTATGTGTAGTATGTGTGTATGCATGTATATGTGTGTGTGTAGTATGTGTGTATGCATGTATGTGTAGTATGTGTGTATGTGTGTATGCATGTATGTGTAGTATGTGTGTATGTGTAGTATGTGTGTATGTGTAGTATGTGTGTATGTGTGTATGCATGTATATGTGTGTGTGTAGTATGTGTGTATGCATGTATGTGTAGTATGTGTGTATGTGTAGTATGTGTGTATGCATGTATGTGTAGTATGTGTGTATGTGTAGTATGTGTGTATGTGTAGTATGTGTGTATGTGTAGTATGTGTGTATGCATGTATGTGTAGTATGTGTGTATGTGTAGTATGTGTAGTATGTGTGTATGTGTAGTGTGTAGTGTGTGTGTATGTGTAGTATGTGTAGTGTGTAGTATGTGTAGTATGTGTGTAAGTGTAGTATGTGTGTATGCATGTATGTGTGTATGTGTAGTATGTGTGTATGGGTGTATGTGTAGTATGTGTGTATGTGTAGTATGTGTGTATGTGTAGTATGTGTGTATGCATGTATGTGTAGTATGTGTGTATGTGTAGTATGTGTAGTATGTGTGTATGTGTAGTATGTGTAGTATGTGTAGTATGTGTAGTGTGTGTGTATGTGTAGTATGTGTGTATGTGTAGTATGTGTAGTATGTGTGTATGTGTAGTATGTGTGTATGTGTAGTATGTGTAGTGTGTGTGTATGTGTAGTATGTGTAGTATGTGTGTATGTGTAGTATATGTGTATGTGTAGTATGTGTGTATGTGTAGTATGTGTAGTGTGTGTGTATGTGTAGTATGTGTGTATGTGTAGTATGTGTAGTATGTGTAGTATGTGTAGTGTGTGTATGTGTAGGATGTGTGTATGTGTAGTATGTGTAGTGTGTGTGTATGTGTAGTATGTGTGTATGTGTAGTATGTGTAGTATGTGTGTATGTGTAGTGTGTGTGTATGTGTAGTATATGTGTATGTGTAGTATGTGTGTATGTGTAGTATGTGTAGTGTGTGTGTATGTGTAGTATGTGTGTATGTGTAGTATGTGTAGTATGTGTAGTATGTGTAGTGTGTGTATGTGTAGGATGTGTGTATGTGTAGTATGTGTAGTGTGTGTGTATGTGTAGTATGTGTGTATGTGTAGTATGTGTAGTATGTGTGTATGTGTAGTATGTGTAGTGTGTGTATGTGTAGTATGTGTGTATGTGTAGTATGTGTAGTGTGTGTGTATGTGTAGTATGTGTAGTATGTGTAGTATGTGTGTATGTGTAGTGTGTGTATGTGTAGTATGTGTGTATGTGTAGTGTGTGTGTATGTGTAGTGTGTGTGTATGTGTAGTATGTGTGTATGTGTAGTATGTGTGTATGTGTAGTATGTTTTTCCTGAGATCTCAAGGGGTTTTCCTCTTAACAATAAATTAGATATTTCAAATCCCAGTCATTGTCCAGTGTCGGAAACTCGTGTCCTCTCGGGGCGTTCTGCTTTATTAACTCATTAAAACACATTATGGAGGCACACAGTGAGTAATGCTTGGCTCTGGCAGAAATCCGTGAGTTTCTCTGAAGTGTTTCCCGCAGATGTCTGAATGACTCCTTGTGTGTTGATCTTCCGTCAGGTTTGTCCGAGTCCCACGGGAGCAACGCCGGCATGTCCGTGAACGTGAACCTCGTGGCGCCGGAGAAAGTGTCCGCCAGCGCGAGACGGAGATACGAGACGCAGGTCTGGGAACAGTGACTCACACCTGACATCATGAGAAACACGCTTTCTTCCTCATCTTGAGCCTCTAGAGAACATGCGGTCACACCAAACATCATCCACACACCAGATATAATATTTGATATTGTTTCACTAGTGTGTGCAGGACACTATAGTTCATTATGTAAGTGAGGAGAGCAAAATAAAGTAAACTGTGACATATTACACCCGAATATTCTTCATACAGTGACTAGCAGTGACATATTTGGGAGCAAAACTGATTCCTCCACTTTGAGCTGATGATGTTTTGCTGAAGTGTGTTTTCTGTAATTGCTAATGCTCTTTTTACACACACACTGAACAACATGAAGCATTGCTTGGTCACTGGTTGAGCTAAACTGGTATTATCTAATTGTGTAGTTAAATTTAACAGCTGACAGAAATAGAGAGCCTAAGGCCCCATCCACACTACTGCGTTTTAGTTTAGAAACGGATAATTAAAACGAATACGATCTCCGTCCACACCAGCGTTTTAGCTGCGTATTAGAATTGATCTCCGTCCACATTAAAACGACTGAAAACGCGGATCACGTGACCTTTCACCAACACTGGGCATGCGCGCGCCGGTGTAAACACAACTTCATTGATAAAATTATCCCACCATGCTCTGGGTTAACCCCAAACCGACGCTCCATGTACGGTCAACGCCGCCGCTGCACACGGGAATTGTCACAGATCGCTGGAATAATAGCTTGACTCCGGCGCATGTAGGCAGTTATAGCGCTGTAAAATGCAGAATTTACTTGTACAACAGCGGCTAGCAAAGATATACGCCATGACTGATGACACCCAATCATAGAGCCGAGCGTGAGCCTCTACTACGTCATCGTTTCTAAAGTTCTCCGTTTTGTCCCGTCTACACTAAAACGCCCTCCGGAGATTCAAAACGAAAAACGGGTCGGCAGCGTTTCTAAACTTCTCCGTTTTGGGTCTCCGTTTTTGCCATTTTAGTGTGGACGGGAGGTGCAAACGTAGCAAAAGGTCTCCGTTTTTAAACGAAAACGCATTAGTGTGGACGGGGCCTAAGTATGGAGCTAGAAATGTGTCTTTATTACATGCGAGAAAATAAAGTTTTCATATCAATAGCAAAAAATAATATTTGAGACTAAAAAAAGTTTTGAGAGAAAGTATTTTCTCATAGAACATAAAAAAATATAAATGTGAAAAAAAAAAAATATTTCTGAGAAAAAAATCTCTCAAAATACTTTGAAAAAAATCTTAAATATATATATTTTTTGCTATCAGTGTAAAAACATTATCTCAAAAAAAAAAAAAAGTGTTTCTCTCAATGAAATTTCTTGCTCTCGTGTCAGGATTTTGCTTTCACTGTGAAAACTGTGTCATGGGCGGGGCCACGTTCTTTTTTTCCTATTGGATCGTTCCTATTGGCCAGTCGGGTGAGCATCGTCTTGTCTTGGGAGTCGTTACGATTATAACGCAAGACTATAGCAACAATGACAGACTTTAGCTTCAGTAAAGTTAGCTTCAGTAAAGTTAGCTTCGGTAAAATTTGCTTCAGTAAACTTAGCTTCGGTAAAGTTAGCTTCGGTAAAGTTAGCTTCGGTAAAGTTAGCTTCAGTAAAGTTAGCTTCAGTAAAGTTAGCTTCAGTAAAGTTAGCTTCGGTAAAGTTAGCTTCAGTAAAGTTAGCTTCGGTAAAGTTAGCTTCGGTAAAGTTAGCTTCAGTAAAGTTAACTTCGGTAAAGTTAGCTTTAGTAAAGTTAGCTTCGAAGTTAGCTTCGGTAAAGTTAGCTTCAGTAAAGTTAGCTCCAGTAAAGTTAGCTCCAGTAAAGTTAGCTCAGTAAAGTTAGCTCAGTAAAGTTAGCTTCGGTAAAGTTAGCTTCGGTAAAGTTAGCTTCGGTAAAGTTAGCTTCGGTAAAGTTAGCTTCGATAAAGTTAGCTTCGGTAAAGTTAGCTTCGGTAAAGTTAGCTTCGGTAAAGTTAGCTTCAGTAAAGTTAACTTCGGTAAAGTTAGCTTCAGTAAAGTTAGCTTCGAAGTTAGCTTCGGTAAAGTTAGCTCCAGTAAAGTTAGCTCCAGTAAAGTTAGCTCAGTAAAGTTAGCTTCAGTAAAGTTAGCTTCAGTAACGTTAGCTTCAGTAAAGTTAGCGCTTCAGTAAAGTGAGCTTCGGTAAAGTTAGCTTCGGTAAAGTTAGCTTCGGTAAAGTTAGCTTCAGTAAAGTTAGCTCCAGTAAAGTTAGCTCAGTAAAGTTAGCTTCAGTAAAGTTAGCTCCAGTAAAGTTAGCTTCAGTAAAGTTAGCTCAGTAAAGTTAGCTTCAGTAAAGTTAGCTTCAGTAAAGTTAGCTTCAGTAAAGTTAGCTCAGTAAAGTTAGCTTCAGTAAAGTTAGCTTCATTCATTGAGAGAAAATGTGCATCTTTGGGGTTTGTAGTCTTCAATTACGTATTTTCACAGTCTTATACCTCAACAGTTTTACATCAAACTGCGACTTTCTTGACTTTAAAATGTATCTTTTAAATTGACAAACATCATATGTGTAATTCAGGGCACAATTCAAACGAGATTAAAACATTTGTTGTCTCTCGCCATTGACTACCATACAATATTTTTCTGATATAAGGACCCATGGTGGTCGACTGGAAGGGGAGGGGCTTAGGCTCTCTATTCAACATAATTCATGTGTGAGAGTCTAACAGAAGGACGGACAAAACCAGTCAAATATCAGCTGAGTTCTGCTCATATTTTATTACCATTTTCTAAACTATAGCGAATAAACTGTGATAATGTGAGAAATGTTGAAGCTGTCTGAGTAATGCTGGTTAGACTGTATGTTCCCCTCACGTTTTCACACTGCATTAAACTCAGCGCGAGTCTTGAACGTGTGATTCCCCTCGAGAAGCGTCTCGGTCGTCTCAGCTCGACTGCTGTGTAACTCGGCGTGTGTGAGTCTCAGCGGAGACGCCCTTCTGATGAGATAATCATTCATATTTAATAAGCCATAGAAACATGAACCCCTGCCGTCCTGAACTCAACTTTATTACACTCAACGTTTCAAATAATTACTATTTATAATGTTTCTGAAAGAGTCTCTTCTGCTCATCAAAGCTGCGTTTATTTGATTTAACATACAGTAAAATAGTGAAATATTATTATAATGTAAATCAGCTGTTCTCTATGTGAATATACAGTAAAGTGTAATTTATTCCTGTGATCAAAGCTGAATTTATCATCATTACTCCAGTCTTCAGTGTCACATGACCCTTCAGAAATCACTCTAATATGAGGATTTTATTATAAAAATGAATGTTAAAAAAAAGGTTATGCTGCTTTAGGATTTATGATACATTACGATTATTTATGATTAAAAAAAAGTTTTGGGGTAAGTAAGATCTTTAAAAAATAATTTAAATTAATACTTTTATTCATTAAGGACGCATTAAATGTATCAAAAGTGACAGTAAAGACATTTATAATGTAACAAAAGATTATATTTCAAGGAAACACTGTTCTTATAAAACTTTCTATTCATCAAAGAATCCTGAAGAATAAAATGTATCAGTTTCCACAAAAATATGAACTGTTTTCAACACTGATAATAATCATAAATGTGTCTTGAGCATCAGATCATCATATTAGAGTGATTTCTGAAGGATCATGTGACACTGAAGACTGGAGTAATGATGCTGAAAATCACAGGAATAAATTACACTTTACTGTATATTCACATAGAAAACAGCTGATTTACACTGGAATAATATTTCACTATTTTTACTAAATTTGATAAATAAATATATTTCATATGATGAAAAGCCTGTTCATTTTGCATTATGATCATGAACTGATTCTGTCTTTCAGATTCAATCGCGACTGCAGAATCTGAGCAGCAATTTACAGAACAAGAGCAGCGACATCGAGGTGTTGGCTGTGAGTACATGATGTCATTTCCTGCTGTCAGATCAACACATGAGCCTTAGCGACTCACACTGCACTCAAGGTTTACACTAGCGGTCGACCAATATATGGCATAGCAGCGTATGTGGCGTTTTAAAATGATCGCCATTGGCCAACATGTTTTACACACACACACACACACACACACACACACACACACACACACACACACACACACACACACACACACACACACACACACACACACACACACACACACTCACACACTCACTCACACACTCACACTCAAAAACACACACTCACACTCAAAAACACACACACACACACACACACACACACACACACACACACACACACACACACACACACACACTCACACACACACACACTCACACTCAAACACACACACACAAACACACACACACACACACACACAAACACACACACACACACACACACACACACTCACAAACACACACACACACAGACACTCAAACACACACACACACACACACACACACACACACAGTTCTCAGAATTGTAAACAGCAAAAGGAGGCGAACGCTTGTCAGTGAGATTTACATCGTTTGCATATTTAGTTGATTAGTGGTTATGAGGGGAACACAGTGGTTTACTGTTATTACACTTTACAAAACTCCTCTAGCCCTGAGTTACGGGTTCATATGCGGCTCGAGCTTCACACACACACACACACACACACACACGTCTGATCAACATCACCTACAGAAACACAATCTGCACTTATATCAGGGTTTAAAAGCGTCAGGGCTTTTTAGTCAGATTAGTTCAGCTCAAAATGAACATGTCCTGATCATTCACTCAATGCCACCCGAGATGTTCATGTCTTTCTTTCTCCAGTGGAACAGAAATGACGTTTTTTGAGGAAAACATTTCAGGATTTTAATAGACACACTCACACACAGACACACACAATTCAACTCATCATGTACTTTAGACTTCAATTTATTCCTCAAAAAGCTGTTAAAGTCTTGAACTGCCTGTATAAACCCTGTGTATGCAAACACTCTCGCTGTCACATGACTCTGACTTCTGGCCTGCTAACGCTCACTTCCTGTCCACTGGTCGCTGTGTTTACACTGTGTGCCGTTCTCCAGATAAGCCTCCATTGTTTGTGTGTGTGTGTGTGTGTAAACGAGCCTCACGATCTGCCATTCCTCCTCAGGTCGATCTGTCCAAGGAAACACTCGTCAACTTCCTGTCCCTCGAGGTTTGTGCCGCCCGCTGTTATCAGTTCACACACGCCGTTCCTGTGGGAGAGGGGAACCCTCGCGTCCAGCCGACCAATGGAGGAACACACATGATATTACCGAGAATCATGGGATATTTCACTCTTAAACAGAGCTTTCCTCGCATTGTGTAACACATCTTTCCCTCGCGGGTCAAAATAACCCCAAGCCCTATCATTATAGGGAACACTTTACTTGAAGGGGTGTGCATAAGACTGACATGACACCTTCATAACCATGACATGACACGCGTCATGAATATGAAGGAGGGTTTATGCATGTTCGCTCAATTATGACATTTTTTATGCAAATATGACATTGTTTGAGATGTCTTTGTTATGACAACTTGACATAAACCAATACTTCATAACCTGTTATAAATGTGTCATAAACATGACATAGCAGATTAATTATCAAACTTAAGAAAGCACTGAGCTTTATGGGTTAACATTACATTAAACTGTCATGTGGTTGGTTTTGACATTGGCTGTCATAAGGCCGTTATAACTGTGTCATGAATATTTTTCTTGACCTCAACTACAGTGGTACACATTTAATTTGTCTTTAAAATGTTATAATGCCCTCATGACAGCCAATGTCAAAACCAACCACAGTTTAATGAAATGTTAACCCATAAAGCTTAGTGCTTTCTTAAGTTTGATCATTAATCTCCTATGTCATGTTTATGACACATTTATGACAGGTTGTTTTGTCTTAGTAATGTCCAGGTGTCATAACAAAGACATCTTAAACAATGTCATATTTGCATTAAAAATGTCATAATTGAGCGAATGACACTTAATGACAGTTGTCATAAACATGCATAACCCTCCTTCACATGTGTCATGATTATGAAGGTGTCATGTCAGTCTTATGCACACCCCTTCAAGTAAAGTGTTACCACATTATACTTAAAATAAGCTTTCTGAACAAAAAAAAAAATATTTCATTTTGATTTAATTTAAGCACATTCCTCACATTCTTTCAACTTAAATTCTAAATAACTCACAATTTCATGCATAACCCTTTTAATTCAGCTCTAAATATCTTACATTGAGTGTCTTTGCCCTCTTGTGAAATATAATAATAACACATGATGATATTTCCTGACTCTAGATGGGCTTATAGCTCTATATGGAGCAGAAGAGCTGTTCCGCTGGGTCCTAAAGCCAGTTTATCTTCAGTCTGCATTCACATACACATGTAGACATTATAAAATAATTTTTTTGGTAAAGTTTTAGCATTTTCAGTTTGAATTTTGAGCATTTTTATGTTTTTCTGTGTGAACTGAAGCATTCCTCGCATTCCATTCATTCCTAAAGGGGTCAAACTGAGGGAAGAATCACAAAACTCCTCGAATCCATTATTTGTGTGTGTGTGTGTACTCGTGGTTCAAATGCAACAAAAGTCCTGGGGTCTCGGACCCCCCAATGAACACTACATTTTTTTTTTTAAATTCTAAAATTATTTTCAGGTCAAGACAAAAATGAAAATGTTAAAGTATTTGATTAGTATTTGTATTTTTAGTATGTGAGTTTTTTAGTGAACTATGATGAGCTGCTAAACCCCTCAGGCTGATTCTGAATATGAATGAACTGAACACTCATTATGAATATGATCAGATCTGCTTCCTGTGTTCCTCCTCAGTTCGAGGGCGAGGAGCAGTTCAACATCAGTGTGAAGACGCTTCTCTCTCGGCTGCCCAAACAGCGCTACCTCAAGAGCATCTGTGAACAGATCCACCACTTCAAAATATACAAACGGTACGAGAGAAACTCCATTCACATCCAGAATGAGATATAATGCCATATCCACACAGTTAGAGAACAGCGTTCTTTTTATTACAAACTTTATTCCAGAATTTATTTTTTCACAAATTCCGTTTTTTTTTTTTTTTTGGATTCCATTTTTTTTTTTTTTTTTTTTTTTTTACTCCTTCAATGGTTTTAATGGTTAACCAATTTTAATGTTTAAATTAAATTTGAGTAATCAAAAAACATTTCTAATTAATTGAAATCATTAAACTTGTACAATTTAACAAACATAAATAAATCAGTTTATTAAAAATTAAGTTAGAGCCCTATGTAATACGTTTTTGTTTCTTTCTCAAATTCCATTTTATTTTTTACCAAATTTCGTTTTTTCAATTTTAATTTTTCTTAATTCTATTTTTTTATTTTTTTTGGAGACTCCATTTTAATGGTTAAATTAAATTTTAGTAATCAAAAAGCATGTCTAATTACTTGAAATCCTTAAACGTGTACAATTTAACAAAAATAAATAAATAAAACTTTATCAAAAAAATAAGTTTAGAGCTTTATGAAATACTTTTTTTTTTCTCAAATTCTTTTTTTTTTTTTACCAAATTCCGTTTTTTCCCCCAAAATTTTTTTGGAATCCATTTTAATGGTTACGGTACATTAAATTGTAGTAATCAAAACGCATGTCAAATTAATTGAAATCATTAAACTTATACAATTTAAAAATAAATAAATAAAAGTTTAATAAAAATTTAATTTTCTATGAAATGTTTAAAAAAAAAATCCTTTTTATTTTTCTGTTTCAAGTTTTCTGGATTTCATTTGAATGGTTTTAATTGAATCCATTAAAAACAACATTCATTTCTATGAAATGTTTTTTTTTGTGTATTTTTTATTTTTTTCTGGCAATCAAATGAAGGCATACAACATTCATTTAATTAATCTTTTAATCATATGATGAATATTGATTCTCCTTTATAGCATTGAGAAGGATTCATTTGAGTGAATCAGATTAATTTGTAAATGCGTGTAATATATGATGAAGTTCAGTGTCTGTCAGGTTCATGGTAACTCTCACTAGTGTGTGTTAGGCACGTTTTTTAGGAATTGATCTCCTCAAATGATGGTTATGACATGGTTTACTCTCTCTCTCCTGTCGTTCCTGTATGACTTTCGTTAATTAACTTCCATTTTATTTTATTTTTTCTCCATATAATGAAAGTCAACGGGAACCAAAACTGCATTCCTCAAAATATCTTCTTTTTTGTTCAGCAGGAAAAGAAAGTTGTCTAGTATTTATCTAGTGTTTAAAGGGATGGTTCACTTTCTTAATCATTTACTCTCTCTTCTCTGTGGATCACAAAAGATGTTTTGATCTCTCAGCATTTTTTTGTCAATACAATGGAAGTCAATGGGGTCCAATATTGTTTGGTTTCCAACAGTGAACTTTATGCTGTAAATACACTGTTGTGATTGTAGAAATACATGATATATGGAGCTCTGTGAGTTTGTGACGATGTTAGCTAACGGTTTTCCAAGGTTATCCTGACTGTAATCAGTCACGAGTCGCGTTTATCTTGGAGAGCTGCAGTTTTACAGCGTCCGGCTCTGGAGGAGTGTGTGTTTCGTCAGGTTTGCTCTCGTTAGTCTGACGGCGAGACCAGGCAGTGTTTCTCATTTACAGAATCATAAAACCTGATCCGAGCGATGAAGATCTTCAGAGGCTCGTGCTCCTGTTCTCGGAAACTTTGATCTATGAACTTTTTTAGCACTATTCTTCTGGTCATTGGTTTCCTCGCGAGCGCTCTGTCTGGACTGGAGTGTTTATGTGGATTTGAAAGATTTTGTGGGTCAAATATAGTGTGTGTTCATTTTACTGGTGCGTTTTCATAAAGCTCGACCTCCAGCAAAACTAAAGGCTTTCCAGAACTAGAGCGGAATAAAAACGCGTGTTTATTGATCTGTTAGTGTGTGTTTGAGTCAGAAATCTCCAGCTTTACACACCAAACTTAAAACCTTCAGAATATAGATATGAATAAAAGTGTGTTCATAAATCATTCGCCTCATTTATACAACATTTTAATCCTAAAACACATGGTGAAAATCCGTTTTCTGTCCATTTTATCTGGTGATAAACAGAAATCCACAATCCCAAAATCAAACTAGATTTATGAACATGACTTTATCCGATGTTCACATTTCTGTTCTGGAAATTAGTGCATATTTAATTAGATAAAGCCTCATTTACATATTTAAACATGGCATTTCAGAAAACTTGATATAAAACGATTGTCTTGATGTACAGATTAATTAACTGATAATAGAGCGTTAATTCTATTCATTAAAATGTTTACCCGATTCGGCCTTAAAAATGGTTAATAGACATCTTTTTATTCTTAATTAGCAATAACCCTGTGATCATTCTTTGATTATGAAGTGCATATTGTGTGTTATTGACATTAATCATCACTTGCTAGATGACCAAAGTGAAATCCTCTTTATATGCTTAATATTTTGAAACAACGTAATCAATTCACAGGGATTTAAGACGTTTAAGAACGATCTTTTCAAAAAAAGTAATAATTCTGCTTAAGTTTTGGAAACTAAAAAAATTAGAATATGGTGCAAAAGTCCATTTATTTCAGTAATTCAACTTAAAAGGTGAAACTAATATATTTTATATACTCATTACATGCAAAGTGAGATATGTCAAGCCTTTATTTGTTTTAATTGTGATGATTATGGCTTACAGCTTATGAAAACCCCAAATTCAAAATTAGAATATTGTGAAAAGGTTTTAATATCTGTAAGCCATAATCATCACAATTATAACAAATAAAGGCTTGAAATATCTCACTTGAAATTAGATTTTCAGGTCTATGCTCAAAAAGTAAATAAATGGATTATAAATATAGCGTAAATATAATTTAGTATAAACAAATCACCTAAAAAAAAAAATTAAAAAAAAAAAAAAAAAACATTATCAAACTAAAATATAGTACATTCATTTTATGGTCAAAAATGATTCTTTTTCAGACACGTTTAAAAAAAAAAAAAAATTATTTCTGCATAAGTTTTGTCTTAAGAATACTCATAACTTTTCATCAGAGTGTTTCATGAATCTTGAGTCTGTAGTAGATGTGTTCATCTGAGACGTGTGTGTGTGTGTGTGTGTGTGTGTTTCAGGGTCGCTGTGGTCGTTCTGTACAGTTACAGAGACGATTATTATAAGATCCTCCTCTGATCAGACGAGCGAGCGCTTTATGGCGTCAGTGACCCGAGAGCGTGATTGACAGGTCCAGTTGATGACATCACACCACATACTGTACAGTCCAGAACTGAAGGAAATAAAGTATTTTCCCAAAACCCATTGTCTTGTTTTGTTTTTCTACATGCATATAAAGAGCAACTTTACAGAAATTCATAATAATATTGTTTATAATACCTTAGTCACATTGATCGATTTAGAGCTTGATTATGAAAAAGTTTACATTTAGAGTTGATATGAACTCAATCAGATGATATTTGCTGGTCATATATTGCTTTATGAGTATATGCACACTGGGATCTGATGTAAAGATCAAATAATAACGTTTTAATGTGACAAACCGAGTTATTATGAGCTGATGAGTTTCACTGCCACGGTTATAGTGGCACATCAGGGTTTAAGATTTTGATCTCTCTGAAATTGAACCCAGAAGTTAATTATAAGTTGTGCAATAATATTTATGCAGCCAAAGTTTGCAATAAGATCATTCATATTATGCAATGCGGTTGTAATTATCAATGTTCATAAGGGCGTTTTCATTTTTGTTCCCAAACAGACATTATAATGATAATTTCTTGGTTCGCTCTCCCAAGGCAACATTTTACAGAATTTTTTTTTTCATACAAATGATATAAGTCCTTCTTGAAATCTGATTATGTATAAAAACATATGAATCTTTCTTTAAGCTAAAGAAGTTATTCAGCCAAGAGCAGATCTGAGTTTTTGCATTTTCTTTTGACAGGTCGGCTTTATCAGTCCTTCCAGAAAAACGCTGAGTTTTTTTGTGATTATTGCGGGGAAAAACCCTTGATTATGCGGCTCGTTTTCTTTAAAAATGCGATGGAATATGCGGGATTTTTATGCGATGAAATTGTGGGAACTTGCAAAAACTGCGGTTTGATGAAAAAGAGAAAAAAAGTGATTCCCCCAACACCCTGTTCTCTAGGCTACCACCTTAATATAGTCATTTCTTATTACTTCCTATGATAAGCAAGCATATACATCACTGGGAATATTTCAGTTCTCATCTTGTGTTATTTCAGACCTTAATAAACACGTCAAACTTACAAAACATCGACGAGTCAAGCGAGTTCTGTGTCTTTACAAAAGGAATATGCTACAACTTCTGTAAAAATGAATAAATAAATTATAAAAAAAATAAAGTGTGCTCCTGTTTTACAGCTTTTCGATGATGTTCGCGTTGCGTAATTACGTCACTTCATAACGTTCCCATGGCAACAGGGGAAACGGCTGCTCTTGTGATATAAGATATATGTGACTTTTTTTGCAACAAAAATGCGAGGATTATGAAATCATGCGAGCCCCGCATATTTTGCACGGAAATCAGCCATTTATGCGGCGAAAGTGCGGCGTATTTGAAAAAATATGCGGACTTTGGCTGATTATGCACTGAATCATGTGATCGCATAATCGCGTTATTCTGGAGGGACTGCTTTATTTATACAGCGCTTTTTACAATAGAGTGTTTCAAAGCAGCTTTATAGAGATAACACGGAAATAACGCAGTTGTTAAATATCAAATTAAAAGTCCCTAACTAAGCAATCCAAAAGCCAAACGCGACGAGGCATCAGCAGGAATATTAAGCTACGGATATTCGGTTGTTATTATTATAGCAAGAAATGACTCTGGAGAAGCGACACGGTTCACACACATGATTTTTATTTGAGAAACAGATGTACATGTGACAGCGCACAGCTGGAGGATCATATCGACACGGCAAAGCCAAATAAATAAGCTCTGATATAAAGCAGACAGACGTTTACCAAATCTGTACAGCAGCTTCAGTTTCTCTGCCAACATCACAGACACCAACTACGCTTTAGTATTAATAAATAAATGTGAAAAAATAAATAAGATACTTTCCTCTACTATTTTTTTTAATGTTTTTTGTACATTTATCAAACTGCATTCACTCTAATTCCCCTCTGAACGACAATCAACACGTGATTCATCCAGACTAACACACAATATCTAACAAACCACTTCTCTTTTTGGATAGTATGATATCAAAATCATGTAAGATGATGCTAATAAAGTCCCATTCGTCCTCCTCGGTCCATCAACACTGAATCTTCATGAGTATGACATCACAACCATAATTAACATATGACAGAGTTCCGCCAATCACAGCAGAGATCATTTACATATCTCTTAAAGATACAGTATCAAAAACAGTCTGTCAGAGCAAACAAAATGTTAATGTAAATAATTTCTACCTTTTTTTGGCGCCAAAAAACCTCGACTTGCATTATAGATGCAACTTAGAACTTGGAAAACTATAGAACTTGGAAAGATATAAACGAAGAAAAAGAGCATTTTAAATGAGGATTTCAAGAGGAGCAAATAATGTAACTTTTTTTTTTTGTACCAGTTACGAATGGAAATGTGTGTAAACCAGTTCCACTGTGAGAAATACAGAGCGATATCTTTGTATTGCGATGCTTGTCATGAGGGTTCGGTTCAGTTGTTCATGCTACGAACGTCTAGTGTCGCGTCGCTCGCTCCATCGCGACACGAGGCTTAACAGTGACTAACGATAAACTACAAGTAACACAAATAGAACTGAATAAACCGAGGTCAGGAAACACGGCAGTCCCGTAAGGCCTCAGGATAGCTACGGTCCGTGTGGATTTGCACAATGCTAATAATCTCCGGTAGAAGGTTTCGTCGTGGATCGACACAGAACGGCACGAGACTCCATGTCCATGAAACTGTCGTCCTCGTTGACGCGCAATAGAAATACGTTAAAGCATGAGATGTCGAGCGTTTCACAATACTTGGTTCTTCCGCCGGAGAACGAGGCTCCTGACGCTTTGGAGGATCCGGTTAGCATCCGTGTCCGTTAGCGAGTTTAGCGCGCGGGATTGTGATCCGCTCCGCTTCCGACGGGAAGCTCCCGTTCCTCGAGCTCTGGAACTTGTTCTCTCTGGACGACGGCTCCATGTAAACCACCGAGTTCTTGTTCACGTGCTTCTTCAGGATCACCGTCTGCAGAGGAGACACGCAATACTCGCTTGTTATGCAAAAGACTTGTCACTCAGACTGGATTAGCTATATTTGGTAGCGATGCGCCATATATCGGCCACGTTATCGGTATCGGCCGATATTTGTTCGTTTTTAATGTTATCGTTATCGGCCCGATAAGAACATTTAGCCAATATATTAAAGCTGATAAATAATGGATTATTTATTTCCTTCAGCTGAGACACTGTTCAACATTGCTTGAAATGTGATTGAAATCACTTCAAAAAAGGAAAATGTCGTCATATCGGCTACATCAAATTATAATGAGAACATCATAATTGTGTGTTTTAATGATGAGACTTTTTGTAATCAGCCTCTCAAAAATGATATAAAAATTTGGATTTAGATTTTTCGGCCAATATATCTGTTATCGGCTTTCAAATATAAAGAATTATCGGTTATCGGCCAAAATTTTCATATTTTTGTGCATCCCTAATATTTAGAAATAATAATAATTTTTATTTGTATAGTGCATTTCACACTTCCTGATGTTAGTGATTATAATATCTTAACTCTTTCACCGCCAGCATTTTTGATAATTTTCACAAAATGAATATTATGTTTTATGTATATCTGAACATGCAATACATCAAATGAAAGAACAAACAAACTGTTTTATTCTATTCTATTATCGGTCAAAATGTTCATATGTTGTGCATCCCTAATATTTAAAAAAAATAATAATCATTTTTATTTGTATAGTGC